AAGCCTGGTGGATGAATAGGAAAATAATGGTAAATGTTTTTTAATTTGTCACAAATAATAAAAGTGGGGAATATTCCTGTTGCAATGCTATTTCTATTATCACAAAAGAAAGTCTGTTGTGTTCAGTCATACAGTCACATTTCAAATACATATATTTTGCCACGGAAAAAAAAGAAAGAGTAGTGACAGAAAAAAAACATCATTGTTGCCAATTTCAAGAGAAAAGCTGAGTCATGCAGCCCCTTAAAAAAGGAGATTTTGCTTGACGAGTCGTTGGCAGCAGTGTGAAAGAGCCAAGTGCTTGAGACGGAAGTTGATTGATCAGTACGCCTGGCTGGGCCAAGCCAGGCAGCCTGGCTTCAAGGCATGGCCAGTCTCCTCCGCTAGCTCATAGCAACTTGAACTGTCTGCTATCAAAGATTACATTAAAATAGCCCACACTATTTTGGATAATATTCTTTAATCTGTGATAGAGAGGGTTTCATTTCTTTTGAAGTACTTGTATGCGTTGAGTAGGCCTTTTGAACGATTTTTGTCACCACAAAATCTGACTGAAGCACTTATTGCCCCAATGGTTATCTGTACATTGTGAAACTAAAAAACTTCATATTATTTAATTCTATAGAGTATGCAGATAACGGTACTTCCATAATTTCAAGAACACTGTACTAATGGTCAATCAGTAGTCTGAATTTGAAATTTGCAACTGTATCAGTTCATTTCATTTTGTATTTATTTCACAAACCATGATGAAATGGAAACTGTATGAATACAGCATATAAATCTGACGGTATGAAAAAGTTCAAATATAATAATATACATATAAATATTGATAGATCAAAATCAAAATTGAGGGGTAAACAGTATTGAGGAGTAGGCCAACATTTGTTTACCACTGAAAATATAAGCAATATACATATTTGCTTGTAAAAAGAAAAATCATTTGGTGCACTAGGAGTATGCCACTAAATGATCAAGGTTAAATAATGTGCAGAAGGTTAAAGTTGACTCTTTCAATTCCTTTGTAATAGACCTCAACTAGGAAAACACATTAGACAAGAAAGGTCAAACTTGCATGTATCCATGAATATTTTACAAAATAACACACTGTATAAGTTTTTTTATAGGGCCACTCAGTTTTTGTTCTCCCTTGGTTGTTGCTGTCCAATCCATTTTAGAATGACATTTCACACAAGCCCAAAATATATTGCCAGACTGAAACCATTTTCAGGAGAAATGTGCCTCAGAAATATGAACATGATTACTGTCACGTCTGCAGTCCCGTGTTTATGATTGCTTTGTATGTTACATTCAATCAACATACGTGATGTAACTACTGTAAGACAGAGAAACAATAACATCCATTAATCCTTTCACATGCAACCAAACTTTCATGTCCTTCATCTTGACTAGCACTGAAAATAGTTGGGGGCTTGCCCCCTTGCAGGAGTTGCAGCTACTGAAATAACCACCTACCGTAGAGCTCTTCCTAGAATGTATTCTTCTTTCTTAAAGGCACACTGTCCTACTTGTAGCTACTTGCTCCCTCTATATAGAAAACTTCCCCAATCGGTGCCTGTTGGTCCCCCATGATCCTCTTTTTCTTATGTTAAATGAGAGCTGAGTTAATGAGATAGCCACCTGTCACAGTGACCTCGCTGGCTCGCTGGGCGGTCTTATCCCTTCTAGCTGAAGTAGTAAAGCCTACCTTTAAAACATTTTTCTTTGATGGAAATTTGTACAGTAATACAAATGAAAGGAATTCATGTCTACAACCTGAAACATAAACTGTATGTAAAAACAGGATAAACTATAGTGATACATGTATGTATCCTGGCAGGAAAAAAATTATTCTGAATAGACCATTTTCATAATGTAATCATATTCAATGCACATTATATTTCAACAGTCTGAATGCAAATTGGATTCATTAAATGTTGCTACAGTAACAAAGCACTTAACAAAGATTTGTCAATACAATTTGATTACATTACCAAAATGGCTCATTACATACTTACTACTTTAGGTCTGTACACATAAATATTTGCATCCTTAGTATCAATGACTGGTTTGCAACATTCTCAGCTTTTCTCTTCCATTATTCTGAAGAACTCACAACCATGAGAAAACTTTTCTACCCTATAATCCTCATACTCCCAAAATAATCTTCACAAAAATAATCCCCTATGATTGGACAGCTTGTTGAAACATGGCGTTTATCCATTTATCCATCAACGACTACTGAACTAAAAATAATATTCCACACTATTGTTATCCTGTCTTGCCAACTCTGAGCGATGGCGATGTCTTGACGCTATGGGAAAGACCCCCACCCTTTACCGAACATGTCGGAATGTGTCGACCACAAAGTGCAGCAGTGACTGACCTCAAGGAAAGACAAATGTTCCGAACGTTTGCATGTATTGTACATGTACAGTATGTTTGCTTCGACTCAAATGTGAAAACATGACATTGCAGTAAGCCAATTCATCGTAGTTACATCATAAATCTTCCACCGTAGTTGGGCTGCTGGAGGTAATGTACAAGTACAATGATGTTGGCCTTACATGTAGATGGAAAAGAAATTGGTTTTTCAGAGGGAGGATGGGGGAGAGCTACTGCAGAATAATGTTTTTGCTGTTGGTACTTGTTCAATTCGGTTTCAGTAACGATATAGTAGATAGCAGTTAAGTTTCCTTTCTCAACTGTATTGATCAAACATTGCCGCTTTAGTTTATGTTTTGTGATCTGTATATCGTTCGGAGTCAATTCATTTGACACAGAGTTAAGCCCTTGTTGCTACAGTACTAACGATCAATTTCTAACATTCTGGTATGGTCACGATGGAACATGTACATGTAGTTCAATTGTCTTGTCTCAAAGATTTGTCTCAAAATTTAAGAAAAAAACATCCTTAAAGTTTGAACAAATGTAATGAGTGTAAGTACAGGGAAAATAGGTGTCGATTCCAATCAGAATAACAATTATTCTACACACCGCTGTCAAATAACTCTGAAATCAACATCTGTAAGAAACCAGAAGGGCACTAACTCTGTGTAAAATGATATTAATTAATGCCCTTCTGGCTCCAAACAGACCATTAGTTGATGGGAGGAGAGGAGTTCAATAACCCATCTAGATGCATGCTATCGAGTGGCTTCTAACAATGGGTAACACTAGGAGTCAACGTGTAGGCTGATCGGTTCGGCAGAGGGACTTTGCACTCTGCCTTTAATTGTCAATTACACATGTCTTCTTAACAAAAATTCATGTTCATTGCTTATTATGTACATGTATAACTTTCTTAAGTTCCTTTTCATTCAACTTGTAGTACAAAATGAAGCCCAGCAATTTCCTAGATCAAACCAGTTCTAGAGAATCTATTGTTTGTACTCTATCTACAGTACCCCCCCCCCCCCCCCCCCTCTATTCTATATTTTCCAGAACAGACACTTTATTTCATCTCCATGTCATATATGACTGGGGACACAGAGATATTAAAGTTGTCTTCATTTTTCAGTGCAGTGAAAAAAACCCAGGTGAGACGTGAGCACTTTAGCCCTCAAAAAGCTTCCAAAGCTCAAGTCAAAAACGATAAAATAATTGAAGCTCTCGCATACCTCATTCCTATCAAAGTAACACAGATAATCATTCAAAAGATAAAACTCTGAGATAAACTGAGTGAATACATGGAGGCCCTTCATTAAAATGTATTTATATATCATTTCTTTGTGATTGAATTTTAAGTTACAATGTAACTCGAAAAGCCTTCAGAGTAAAAAACTATATCCTTCATGTAGGCCTGCATGTATGCCATAATAATCATGTATTGCTGTTTCCATCAAATACAATTAAAAACCTCTGTGCTTCGGAACTAGGCGACAGGGAAATAAATTGGCAAAGGGAAAAAACCACAACAAAAGTCCTACTTGTGTAAATAATTAGAGCAAATGATGAAGTAGGATAGACAACAGAAACAGAGTGCAGTGACACAAATATCTAAATCAGACATTCACAGACATGACTTATTATGAATGGGCACCACGTTCAAGGTTATGGATGGGTCTCTTGCAAACCAATGAATTACTCATCCCTCGTGAAAATAATACAAAACTGCTCATGGGAAAGGAAATTGGTTAGTCATTAGCGTGCTGGTTGGACACCGCACTCAATTGAAAGTAGTTGGTAATGATAGTTTTTTTTTTTTTTTTAAAGATACCTTTGGTGACAGTGTTTCATAAATATACTAGATGAGCGAAACTGGCAATCACACATTTAACAAACAGAAGACATTGAATATTTGCTTGAAATTTCTTGATCTTTTTTTATGAAGTCTGTTTCATGAATGCACTAGAAAAGAAAAGTAGTACCATATTTACACTTTGAAACCCAAACCGAAATGTACTAGTTAACTATTCTAATAGAAAGCAGGAAAGTCAGAGAAGCAGAGTTATGAAAGTTTAAACAAAATATGACAAAATGTGAAAACGTTATGAATTCTTGAACGATGTAGTATGTAAATGTAATCGCTTCAAATTGGCTGAATTAGCAGTGTTACCGTGACTATTGAGTGCTGGACAACTTTTGCATTTGTTTCAACAACCATGATGACTAAATTGTCAATTTTTTCAAAATATGTGACTCAAGAGGGTATTTTCTTTTAAAGAACCTTTGATAAGACATGATATCCACAATATCTTTCGCAATGTGCCCCGAGGGAGAAGGCACTTAGGAGAAAAACAGAAATTTATGATATTTTGTACTGGACAAATGCGAGAATTGTCTGTGAATACGTCACAATCCAGTGATCAAATTGCCAATTTTCGATTTGCATAGATTTAGCGATCTCATATTTCATGTACTCATAACTTTCTTGTAATGATCCAATTTATTTCAAACTTTGGCCATTCTGTGTCTCCAATTTGTTTTGCTTTCATACAAATAAAATTATTACAATGAAATTGTTGGCAATTGGTTGATGAAAATCATGCAATACTCACTGAAAAAATCCTTCTTGCTGATGTTCTTAGCACATAGAACTGTAATGAAACAAGATAAAAAGGGGAAGAGAAAAATCATAAATACACGTTATTAAAGAATACTTAGTTTTAGCACTGGAAAACTGCTATAGATTTCTGATCTCATGATGAAAAAGTATATTCTATTAGTCATTAGACCTACATACATTTTCAAAGAAATGACACTGTTCTTTATGAACATTAGAAAACCATACCCTGTAATAAAAATAAAGTAAACATAATGACTGGAGGAAGTGGCAAAATGGTCACCATCAACCAGCATTAAAAACAACCAGCTGGCACCCTGGTCATGCTGTTACTCAATTGATTTGCCAAATGCACATTTCACAAATCCAGACAATTTGTGAATTCAGAAAAGTTACATTAGGTCAAATCCAAGCATTATTGTAACGTTCTTGTCAAAGGAACAGAGTGTTTTCCCTTGCACCCAAGCTGCATCATGAACAGATTGAGGTGTGAATCTTTTTTGAATATTTGTCTGCTCTGCGCAGGACTCGAAAGAAAGACTGAGAGATAGACGACTATTGCGCCACACCCCCATTTCATCTTCTTTTTTAACAGTACCATACAACCTTACGGTACATTAACTTTTTTTTAAAATTAATTATTCAAATTTCCCTTCAGTCTGAAAACTAGATGGAACCTGACTGCGCGCAGTCGAAAATGATGCCTCCGTCATAGAACAATTTTACAAACCAAAACAGAAGAAATTTTTCGAATTCAAGTTCAATTGTAATCCATTAACAGGTTCTCAGAATATTGTGATTACAAGCTATTTTTGCATACATAATGAGCCCATGACCTTTGACCTTGTGACCCCTACATCTAATCAGTTCATCAGCTCTGCAAGTAACATACATGACCTAAGTTTGGCAGCAATCCATCAATCGGTTCTTCAGATAACACGATCACGAGCTCGTTTTGCATACATAATGAGCCCTGTGACCTTTGACCTTTGACCTCGTGACCCCAAAATCTAATCAGTTCATCGGCTCTACAAGATACATACATGTACATGACCAAAGTTTGGCAGGAATCCATCAACCAGTTCTTCAGATAACGCGATCACGAGAACGGGACGTACGTACGTACAGACTTACATGTACGTACAGACGTACGTCGTACGTACGGACGGACAACCCGAAAACATAATGCCTCCGGCTACTTCGTAACGGAGGCATAAAAATTAAGAAAGAAAGGAATCAATTTGCGATTTTTACTTCAAATCTACAGTAGATGAAGATCACCTTCTAGTACAGTATCAACATGCCTCTTTGAGGACAAAGGGATAAATACCCTCTTGAAATATCACAGAGACAGTGAAGAGCCCCCATCCTCTGTGTACTAACAGCCGACTTCCCCTTGGGACAGCTTTTGGTTCCACCCCAGTGAACAAGAAATACAAAAGAACCACCCACACAAAAGGAAGTATATGGGACAACAGTTTGTAATACACACACACACATTATGTTTTCTATCCCACCACAATAATTGGTACGATGCACAATGTACACAAGACATGCTTTTGCCTTTGTTGAGTGGGCAACCTGAATGGGGGAACATAGTGTGTGGCACACAATGAACCAGATCTATACAATAATGCATGTGTATACAGTATGTCCATCTAGATGTGAGCTACCATAGAAAGGAAATAAACAAATATTTATGATTCATGCATGTCATAAATAAAATATAAATGAAGGCCTACAATGTACATGTACTTGTACTTGTTGGCTCCTATACCTCTCAGGCCAAGTCCATGTTAATGGAATACTAAATACTTTTGACGATCCTTGGTAATATGAGTTTTACTCAAGAACATAACAATCGATATTCTTAAATGATTGACTGTGTACAACAATATGTACATGTTTAGTCTCACATGTACATGAAAATGAAAATGTAAAATTATGCTTACTTGAAGCAACAGTGTTACTATTAATTGAAAGCTGCAAATACTATTAAAATGGGTAACTATTTTATATTGTTTTAACTATAAATTCAGCAAATAGTGCACACATGTACAAAGCAAAACTCGTATATACTACGTACGGTATGTACATGTCCACCAGTATAACATTTTGGAGCAAGAGCTACATGCATAAAGCACTTACGCTGGCAGATACTGGCAAAACATTTACATGTATAAAACATTATCATTATTATTATTACTACAATGCACTCAGATCATTCAGATGCTCCAGTAGGCCAACATGGATGCGGGTACGTATACTGTACATGGAGCTTAGGCCTACCGTACTGTATGGGAGATACGAGAACAAGCACATGAAACATACTGTGCATACATGTACATGAGAGTAAAGCCAGACAGATAAAAATGTGTATCTAAGCAACCCATCTGTGATCTCCGCCTTACAGGTCCAACAACAGCAGGCATATATAACACAGATGTTCAAGATATAGGGCCTATTATTTAGAGAGATGGAAGAAATAATTGATCTTTTCAATAGCCCTTTATGTCTGGACTATGCCTCAAATTGATCCAGCATCTCTTGACGCCTTTCGGTCAGTCGTGCTCCGGTCTGGGTGTCAAAATCTCTCGAAAATCCACTAATCATTGCAAAAAAAGCAATAGAGCCTATAGTTGTAATTGTTAATGGAAGGTTCAGATGAAAATTTATTATGTTTTAAACTTTATAAAAATTACAGGTAGATGTGCCACCATTGCCAGCGATCTTCTTGGTTCCACTGGAAAGTATACGCCTCCGTGCCAGTATACATGTGTAAAATTTACTATCCACCTCAGATATACAGGTACCGGTATGACTGCTTACAGTTACATGCAAATGTTTGAAGTAAATTGTGTAGAAAGTGATTGGGCCATAAACCTAACGATCTGTGACCACAGTAGTTTAAAATAATTTGAAGGTTTTGATTAACTGTTATATTTCATTTGGGAGCAGATCGAAATGTCCCTGTACAATATTTTGCAATTTACATTAGGGCGATAATGTCCTTTGCAGAGTGCGAGAGTGCATTCACACACCTTTTTGCTCAGTTACTTCTTACTCATGACGTTATAGAATTACTCTCCCATGGACTAAAACGATTTGGAAACCCAATATTAATGAGAGGGCCCCCGGTCCTGAAAAGCGCTATATAAGAACGAGCTATTATTATTATTATTATTAAAAGTAAATAAAACAGTCACAATGGTAATAAAATTCAGAATTCTCTGAAAGGACTCTCCCTCTCTCCCTCTTGCAGATGTATGTTTTGGCATTTCAGCGATTAGCGACAGCATTTAATTTTAATGAGAATAGGGTTTGAGAAAATTGGAAATATGATGGGAATAGTTATTTGTAGAACCAACAAGTGTTGAGTTACTAGCCTATCCTACAGTATGTGTATTGTTAATTATAGGCTAAATGTACAATGTATGTTCCTTATGACATTTCTGAAAGTCAAATATATCACTGAAAATCATATTTAATTTCTATATTTAAAAAAAAAAGGATTTTGGCCTCTGTTTATAATTCATTGTTTGAAAAGAGGCTGGCTGAGCTCTAACTGCCAGTATCTCACATTACATATTTATACAGAGATCAAGCAGGAAGCCAGGCTTGCGAACGACAAGCCTCATTGTGAGAGGTGCCACTGGGACTGCACAGGAGATGAGCATTAATTGCAATGACAATGGGAGCGATATTCACTAAATTGGGCAGACAAATCAAATTGATGGGAGACGAGAGATTATCCGCCTGGTCTCCCCATTTTTCTGCGCCAAGATGCAAATACGATGACAAAAGCACTTAGGACTTAGGAGAGAGAGAGGCAGAGCCAGTGATGTCGGCCTGCTTAGCTCTTGTAACTCGGTTTATATAGACGACAGCTCATCTTAAAATTGAGGTTTAATTTACAAACGATGATTGCATGTAAACATGTTGGGTGCAGGAAGTGCAGTTTGTTTTTTAATGACGATCATGATGAGGCATTGTCTTCAAGATCTATTGCGGAGGAGCGAGCTAGGGAGGAGACAGGATTGTTTTGAGAGAGATTTGAGATATAGGATTCAAGATAAAAGCCTAGTCTGCAGGGCTGACGAGGGCTTGTCTGATGCAAAATTACTTGTGTTGTCATTAAATATCTTTCCTTTTTGTTGTTTTAGTCTACTGAACTTCATATGCAGAGAAGATAGTCAAAAAAAAGGAATATTCTACAAGTACTTGTAGGAGTTTCTATAAGGGTAGGTGCCAGTTGGATCCCAATGAAGCTTTCATCGACTGTCTGGGGGTAATAGGGGGTGTAGACTTAGGCAGCATCTTAAGCAGCCCATAAAGATAGCAAGTTCACACTTCTCGCAATGCTCACAATTATAGTATCCCGTTACTTCACGTCCACTTTGTGCTGACCAGACACAGACCAAATTTAGACCACTCAAGCCCCTGGACATGCAAAGTGCATAGGAGTTCGTGTAGGGATCATATCTCATGCATTATTTGCATGTCCATGTACATGTAGGCCTACTGTAAACCAAACCTTGGAAATGCATTATGCAAGTCATTTCTCAATCTCACCAAATTTGTATGACAGAAAAATCTAAGATCAGAAAATCCATGATTTCATCTCACTATGAATAATGCAAGTATATAGACGGATTGTAATTAAAAACATTTTTCTAACAATAAAAGCAATCGAGGGGCATGAAATCTTAGCATGATGCCAAGCCTAGCCATGAATAAATGATGTGTTGTATTTAAAATTGATATCAGCTATTAAACATTCCTGGTCATCACCAGCGCCGCTGCTGCCCTGGATGGGTTATGGACAGAATAAATGTAAGATTTAGACCTACTGTACATGTATAACTTGTGGGACATGTTGAGAAAAAACAAACATCTATATTTTTAATATAGCATTTGTTTAGAATAAAGAAATTGAGCAAATAGACATCAAACTATACATTTGAATGCTAAAAGTGGTATAAATTCAGAGACATTCTGTATGGCAGTATCACAGAATGAAAATTGTGATAATAA